CTATGTATCTATATTGTGTTTATATCATTTTTAGTGTCATGTTCATAGTTGTGTGTTTAAGTATTATAAATTCAAATATAATATGTTATATAGTTAATTATTCGTTTTATATAGATTTTAATATATTGTTCATATATATCATATTCATGTTACTTTACATGTTATGTTAATTTTTTTTCTTAATGAAAATATAAGTGTTCAATTATATAGTTTATTAACTTTAGACGTTTAAAGTATTTTTCACTTAAAGTATGTGTCTAATATTTAAAATATTATTTTTTAAGTGTATGTTATATAAAGATCATTAAAAGAAATCGTTATTTGATACATGTCATATATATATATATATTTTATTTTTTATTTTTAAAAATAAAATTTAAATATTTTTTTTAAAAAAATTCAATTTTTTTAATCACAAAAAATCTTAAAACCTCAAATTCTTAATTTCAAACTCCATTTCTACTATCATTGGTCATTTCCTACCACCGACTCTGTTGTCAAACAGGTACCCATCTATCCATTCACTGACTGACCATCACCTTTTGTCGTCACTAAAACCTCTTAAACTCTAAATTCTAAACTTAAAACTTAAAAACTCTAAACTTTAAATCCCCCGTCAAAGCTCCGCGATCAAGATTCAAGCCACATGAACACAAAATGATATATTTCATTTTCATAGTGGGTACGTCCCATTGCCTATTAAAGGTGTGAAAAAAATCTGATGCAACCTATTTGATTCGTCAATTTGATTTAAAAATTTGAATATCTATTTTTTCAGGTTGGAACAAAACATAATTTTAATTATTCAATTTTTTATATATTCAAAATTTTAAATCAAGTAATATTTGATATCCGAAAATGCACACTACTATTACCTATAGCAGTTGTTTTTTTTTCTCAATGACACATGAACATTAGGCTTTGGGATAAATACAAAATATTATCTATTAAAGACTCAATCTTTTATTATCACTGAATATAAATAACTATTGTTTAATGATATTTTTTTATCATCAAACATAAATAAATAATTATATAAAAATACATCAAAATTTAAATATATATATATATAATTAAACAAACACAATAAAATTACATCACATCACGCCACTCCCATGTACGTTCCATCAACCATAAATCTCTATTTAATTTTTTCGTATATAATATTGATTGGGTAACGGAGACTGTCAGTCAAGGGTCAAACCCAATTACGCTTTGCCGCAAGAAACTGCCACCGCAAGCAACCCCTTAAATACTATTGTCGCCGCCACCGGAAAGGAATAAAAGCTGACGCCAAGAGTCAGAACCGGGTTCTTATTTGTACATTCCTTTACAACACTGCTGGAGAAGAAGAGACTCTCAAATTTTTTTAAAAAAATTTCTCTCAATTTTGACTTTTAAAACTCATAAACAAATTTATCCATTTTTGGGTCAAAAACCCAAATTACCATTAATGAATTTATAAAATTATAATCATGCCACTTCATTATCTCTATTTTAATATTATTAAATAGCTATAAAAATCTCATCTTTCAATTTTTCTAACCCTTTAATTTTTTAAAATTTTATTTTAGTTACTAAATTGTACTATCTCACTTTATAGTGCAATTTTCACTAAATTCTACCGATGCAGATGAAATTTTTCTATTTAAAAATATCCATATAATTTTTTCAACCCAAATCTACCTTCATTCAATTTTTTATAAACTTAAGATTCGAGTCGATTATCCGAATAATATATCGAACTTTAACCTTTAATAGACTTTTTGCAAACTCCTGATCAAAAATATAAAACTCACAAAAATAATTGTCTTGGGTTGGACTACTAATTTACAAATCCAAAATAAAACTTTTGAAATTTTACATGTTAGTTCCTATACTTTTACAACTTTATACTTCAGTCTCCAAACTTTCAAAATTTACACTTCAATCACTAATCAAATTTTAGGGGTATTACACTCCACCAACAACATTAAGTCCTGACACATGATCAGCAGGTGGTGCATATATATCTCCTCCTTGAAGAACTGTTTGCCCAAGACCATCATCAGTGGAAATAGCAAATGCAGACAAGCCTTCATTAGTTCTCCAAATTGACAACCCCACACTCCACAATTGGTGAGTCGAAGACATGGTTACCCTCAAACACAGAGCATATATTCTCTTGATCATTGTTAATTTGATCAAACGAAGAAGGTTTTACCATTATATCATTATCCTCAGACAAACTGTGAACAGGGAATTCATTGGATTCGTGCAATTCCTCAGTGCCAGAGCCACTCACAACAAGAAACTAATATTCCCCAAGTAGGTGAGGACTTTGCTGTGTTTGAGGGAAAGGACAATGTATGACATTCATATTTGTACGTCGGAATGTACAAATTTTGGAATCTCTATTAAAGGCTAAAGTTCGATATATTATTCGGATAACCGAATCGAATTGGAAGTTTATAAAAATTTGCATGAAGGTACATTTGGGTTGAAAAAATTATATAGGTATTTTTAAATAGAGAAATTTCAGCTGCATCGGTAGAATTTAGTGAGAATTGCACTATAAAGTGAGATAGTACAATTTAGTGATTAAAATGAAATTTTAAAAACTTAGAGGGTTAAAAAGAAAAATTGAGAGATGAGATTTTTATAGCTATTTAATAATATTAAAATAGAGATAATGGAGTGACATGATTGTAATTTTGTGAATTCATTAATTGTAATTTGGGTTTTTGGCCCAAAAATGGATAATATTTTTATTAGTTTTAAAAGTCAAAATTGGGGGAAATTTTTTTAGAAATTTTGGGAGTCTTTCTTCTCCAACAAGTTGTTGAAACTCATAGCCAAGGTGGGCAATTTCTTTTCTTTTCCATTTTTGATCAATTTTAGTAAGATTTTGGGTTAAAGTGTGAAATAAGAAAATAATCCCATTAAATTCTCTACAATTTGGTGTAATTATTTCTTGGTTTCATGATTGAATGGTTAAATTTATGATTTTGGTAGATGAAGGGGAGTTGATAATTTGATGAAATTAAGTTAGATTTTGATATAAGGAGTGTTGTAAGGTTATAATTAAGTATGAAAGTTAAATAAAAATTGTTGGAGTGCTAAATTTGATGTCTATATGGTGAATTAGAATTTGTGAATTTAGAATTGAATGACAAGAAGGACTATATTAAACAAAATAGAAAAGTTTAATTTTTTTAACTTATGGTTGAAATTATGATATTATGGATTTAAAATCAAATTTGGAAGAATATATAAGCTAAAGAACTAAATTATAAATATGGAGAAATTAGGGATTAAATTAGAAATTGAGTATGAGATGATGTGTAAAGTCTAAATAATTATTAGAGAGACTTGAATAGTTAAATTGACATTTGGTTTAATGTGAAAAGTTGTGTAAGAGAGAGATCAAATTCATAAGTTTTAGGAAAGTTGGTGGTGAAATGACAATTGGATAAAGTTAATGTATTACATTAATATAATGTGAAAATAATTGATATGGATTTAAATTGAATATTAAGGAACTAATTTGCATATATACTAAATATTTGATTTATAATTGAAAGAAAAGTTTATTAGTGGTTAAATGTGAAATGTTGAAAAGTCAAGTGAATAATTGTAAAAAATAATGTTAGTGTCGATTTGGTAAAAGAAATTAGTATCGAATATCTGTTAATAATATTTTTAAAACATTTATATGAACACAAATTATTAAGTTAATTAAAGTATTAATACATGTTAAAATAATGTATGAAGTTGATAATTATTCTTTAAATGTTTTATATTAATAAAGATATAAGACATAAATAAAAGCCCAGTGTATAAGACATGAGAGTTAATGATGCAAGAGGTAGAGTGAACAAGTTCAGATCACCCATATGACTCATGTACCTTTGTGGTGCATGGGGTGGAGTGATAATTGAATAAAGTATAGATCACTCGTATGACTCATGTACTTTTGTGGTGCATGAGGTGGAGTGATAATTGAATACATTACAGATCAATCATAACTCATGTACCTTTGTGGTGCGTGAGGTGGAGTGATAATTGAATACTGCAAAGATCACTCAATGTGACTTGAGTATCATACATTCTCATGATTATGTATTGGGCTATAAAATGAAATTAAAGAAATAGTGCAATACATGGTATATTATATGAAATAATACAACATCAAATACATAACAGTAAAAGATACAATACAATAAGAGAAATAGTATAATAAAAGAAAAGATACAGTACATAAATCAGTACAGAAAAATAAACAGTGCAGTAAAAGGAACGATATAGGAAAAAGAATAATATAGTGAAAGGATTGGTACAGGAAAAAGAGTAAGTATATGATAATGAACGATACAAGTTTAATTTATTCAGTAAAATGTTATAAATATAGTGTAAATTACATTGAATGGTTATAGACTATGAATTATATTGGTTTGAATTTACATACGAATGATATGTATATCTGTGTAATGAAGATAATATAATAAAAGTTGTTATCAGTGGGAGGTCGTGTGACGGTAGACAACAACCAAAGAAACTTGTTTTAGAATAAATCTGATTATAGATGTTACATATATTTTATATATAGTGTTGTAAAAAGGAGATTCTAGAAATTGTGCTCAAACGGGAAATGATATAGTATAAGAAATAAAAAAAGGTGAAAATATAATAAGATACTAAATGCTTATGTATGAGGGTAGTAAAATACTGTATTATAAAGATTAATCGATTAAGTTTTAAATTAGACAGTTTTAGATTATGATATGAAATAGTATTAAACTGTCCAGATACTATGCGAGATTGAATGTAAAGTGGAAATTAAAATATTACATTATGATTTTACGTGGTTAAATATTCTGAGTCTAAATGGTTAAATTTGGAAATTTAAAAAAAAATAAAAATTTTACCATATTCGAACAGTAACTGTTATAGGAAAAGCGTGATATTCTTAACTTGTATTCGGGTACGAATGAGGGTTAAGGGCATTACATAAAGATTCCCTGATCGAATCAGAAATACGAAGTCAAGCATCAGAAAATCCAGTGGTTGATACAGAAGTTTTATTTGATGGAAATAACCAATACCCTTGTGAATGATGAACCATTTTTCTTGGATGTTGATGCGAAAGATGTAATTGATAAATCTTTCTTTGATAGTTTGAGCTCACTTTTGGCAAGTTCTTCACCATACAACTGTGATCAAGATCAGATGACTGAGGCAATGACAATTGAAACTCAATATAATCTTGCAAAAGTTTCTTGTTCAGGCCTTGGAGAATCAGACGAAGTTGCAGGAGCTTGCCCTGTGGATGGGCTTGTGTCTTGCAATTCAGAGGTCCTAAACCTTTCTTCTTGCACTTTAAACAGTGAGGACCCAGAAGTTCCATGCAATGAAGATGATGTCTTCCCCAAACAGCTATGCCGATTGACTGTGTCCTCAATAGGACACAAAGAATCTGGCAATCTGTTATCTGCACGTGTAAAATAATTTTCTCGGGGCCATAAAGCTAGTGAGAGAGGTCCTTCCTGGTTCCCAGAGATCAAAATGATCCCATAAAGCTACCTGTTTTCGATTGTCCAAACTTCATCTTTCCTTTAGTCTGGAATACTACCTTTATAGACAAAGAAGATAGTATATACTTCTCCCTGTGCAGTTGCTACATATCAGCCTGAGGACAGTACGAAAGCAATTATGAAGCTGGAGCAGGCTCACCATTTTTTCATGCAGAGGGACATTGCATACCGTGGAGCCTTGCCATTTTATGTGGCCACCATTCTGAACATTATTATGTTAAGAAACCTGAGGTATTCTTGATCTAAGAATCTCCACATTTTAAGCTTTAATACTGTATCCTTACTTTTACCATTTTTCTCATCAGTGTGGCCTTTCCCATCTGAATGATATTTTTCTAGAACACTTGTATGTAATTGTGTTATATTTAGGTGGTTCTTAATCATACGCTTGAGTCACTACCTCGCTATGCTTTATGGAAATGCTTATTGGGTATTTGTTTAAGCCGAAGACAGGATAAATAAATAATCCTGGTCAGGAACCATCTTGTATTCTGTCCATTTTTGTTATAGGATAATGGGAACCATGAAGTTACTAAAAGTTACTCTTTTGCCACTTCAACAAAACCCCATGGTTTCATTTTTGGAGACCAGTAGAGTTATAGTTTTGATGGGTTAAATTACTAGATGTTACACTTTTTTCTTTTACACTTGGACAAACCAGAATTGTGTGAAGCAGTATTTGAATGTAGCAGAAAAAAGGTTAAGCTCCGGAGCTCCATGTTAGAACTGTGATTTACGAGCAATTGCTCGCCTTTGTTTAGTAGGGGAAAAAAAAGCAGCGGAATTGAATTAATACATACGACTTTAATCACTTTACACATTGCTAAAGAATAGTATATAATTTCAATAACAAATCGCAAACTCAGGAGTGCACATGAGATTCAGGAAATAATATAATAGTATCGGAATAGTATGAACCGTTACTTTTGAATCTGGCAGAGATGGTCAAAGGCTACATGCCAACACCATTCTGCATATATAAATATAACAAAATCCATAAATAGCCGTACCGTGCAATCAAAATCACATCATCTCTCCATCCAAACTCTCCACTTACCACTTCTCCTCCAATCTCAGATCCAAAAGAAGAAACAGTGAAAAATGTTGAAAGCATCGATATCTACTACCCTTTATCTCCATCTATGTTCTCTTGTTTTCATGGCTATATTCTCGAAGCTGTTGCTTTCAGCAAATTCAAGAACACATCCAGCAGATGTACAAGTTCTCGAAGATCTGAAAAAGGGGGTGGACCCTCTTTCCATTGCTTCCGGATCTTGTTTGAGCTCATGGGATTTCTCCATGGATCCATGCGACAACATCTTCACTGACCATTTCACTTGCGGCCTCAGGTGCGATAGAGCCGTCTCTGGTGTGCTTCGAGTCACCGAGATCACTGTTGATCCAATTGGTTACTCTGGTTATCTCAGTTCACTTTCATGGAACCTCCCTTTTTTAAACACCTTGGACGTCTCCGATAATTCTTTCTCTGGCTTAGTTCCTGAGTCGTTCTCCAATTTAACTCGTTTGCGTCGACTAGGTCTCTCCGGGAACTCATTCACCGGTCAAATACCCTCTGTTCTTGGCTCACTCCCTCACCTTGAAGAACTTTACCTTGACAACAACCATCTCCATGGAACAATTCCTTCCAGCTTTAACAACCTGACACGCTTGAAACGACTTGAAATCCAACTAAACTACATTTCTGGTGAGTTTCCTGATCTGAGTTCACTAAAAAACCTTTATTTTGTCGACGCTAGCGATAACAACGTATCCGGCGGAGTCCCATCAACGTTGCCATTATCTCTCGTCGATCTCTCATTGAGGAACAATAAACTAAGAGGAAATATTCCCAATAACATCGACAAGATTAGGTTCTTACAAGTTCTAGATCTCAGTCACAACATGTTATGCGGTGCACTATCATCAGTTCTTTTCAAGCATCCGTCCCTGGAACAGCTCACGCTTTCTTACAACAAGATTTCATCATTAAAAGTACCGGGTGACAAGGGTTTAAACAGTAGCTTAATAGCTCTGGATTTAAGCTATAATAAGCTTCGGGGTTTGTTGCCAGCTTTCATGGCGTCGATGCCGAAGCTAACGGCTTTATCTTTGGAGCATAACGAGTTCACGGGTATGATACCGGCTCAGTATGCAGTCAAAGCTGCTGTTCCTGGGAACGAGAATACTTCGTCATTCGAGAGGCTATTGCTTGGTGGGAATTACTTGTTCGGGCCAATTCCGGGTCCATTGATGGGTCTCAAACCGGGTTCTGCCGATGTCAGCCTGGTGGATAATTGCTTGTATAGGTGCCCCGACGCCTTCTTCTTCTGCCGAGGTAGGGATCAGAAATCCTTGGTGGATTGTAAAACCTTTGGTCCTACAATTCCTTAGGAACTAATAACAATTGTTTTACATTAGTTATTATTATTATTATTATTATTATTATTATTATTATATTATTATTTATGAAGATTTGATTTGGGAAGGAGAAAAGAGATAATTTCGCGTTGTAGAATTTTGTGTTAATATTCTAGTATTTCCACCATGTGGATTTTGATGCTTTTGCTCGCAAAGTTCAAATGGAAAACAAAGACAGAGAGAGAGAGAGAGAGAGAGAAACTAGTAAATTAATCATTAAAGGCTAGAGAAGATATTTACAAGTCTTTTAACATTTTAATTCAATTATTAAAATATTCAAATTTATCTAACTATGAGTTTAATCCTTCTAATATCTTGAAATTCATAGTTTAATCCATCTCCTTTAATTTGAACTATACTTATACTTTTATTGTATTATTAATGGGTATAAATTGATATCATAATTAATTGTTTCTAAATTGATATCACAATTAATTGGTTAACTTTCAGGGTTACTTGCCTTACTATATTCTTTTGTCAGTTTAGCATTTGTATTCATCGTAAAGCGTATATGTTTGATTAGAGATATCACATAACAAAGCTAATAATCTGAAATAATTACTCATATGTATATATGTTTTTGAACTTGGATGTTAACATGTAAAGCTTTACAGGATGAAACATAGATAAAAAACCAAAAAAAAAAAGAATACGGTATCAAAATTTAGAAAATTATATATAAAAATCTTTTAAATGGGTGTAGATTAACGTTCATGTCAATTTTGAGGTGTCAATATTCATTTAAAATGATTTAATTTTTAATATTTTTATATAAAATTTATAATTATTTTTTTTTGGAAAAAAATAGTTATCAATTGACACCCCAATAATAAATGTGGCTCCATCAATGGGCAAATTCTTGATCATCTACACCACAAAAGATGGCATGCATAGCCATTGAGTTAGAGTTAGCAGTTCTTCCTTCATTATGTGTTCAATTACCATTAGGTTTAAAAAGGATTGCATCATCAATTTCATGTGTAGGAGGTTTATAATCTATAGATTCACTCATCATTGGACTTTAAAAAGTGCGTACGAGGTTTGCTTCCATTAAGGGGTCGTAATGATTGATTAATATTCTATAATCATTACAAAATATAGCAAAATCAACTTCAAATACATCTAGGCATTGATATCAATTGTTATGATATCAATTGTTAGAGTAATTTACGTGTTAATGTCAAGGTCAGTTGGTGTTGGGTGAACAACAAAAATTAGAAACATAAACAAGAATACAAGAGAGTTGTTTATTCAGTTCAGATAATTGATTCTACTTTTAAAAAATCTTTCTTGAACAAAAATTCATTATAATATTCTTTAAAACAAGATATATGAATCTTCAACCTAACTACATATGTCTTCTAAAACGTCTTTCACAAACAAAAATCCACTTTAATATTCTTTAATACAAGATATATGAATCTTCAATCTAACACACGTTATTTGTTAGCTAGTTCTCGTATTATTTATAACCTCATAGTGTCCTCTAAAAATTATCCAATAAATACTTAATACTCACTAATAACACAATGATTAAAAAAAAAGCATGTACTTACGACGCTTCTCGAATAAACTAATTTGTACGATATAATAAAGTTCTCTCTACATGTCATCTTAATTTCTCGACAATGGTTTTTTAAATATACAACAATTAATTGACAAAGATTGGTTGAAGTTGTAGTCACTCATTTTCGTCCGGGGTTCATATATAATAATATAATGTAGTTTTTGAAAATATTTTTAAAAACACATAATTTAAACATTTTAAATCATATAATATATAATTTTAAAAAATCGGTTTTTGAAAATATATAATATGGTTTTGAAAATATGTTTTAAAAACATATATTATATAGTTTGAAAAACAATTTTTGAAAACATATAATATATAGTTTTAAAAACAATTTTTGCAAACATATATTATATAATTTGAAAAACATTTTTTGAAATATATATATATATATATATATTATAGTTTTGAAAAACAGTTTTTGAAAACGTATAATATATGGTTTTTTTAAAAAACGTATAATATATAGTTTTTAAAAAATATTTTTTAAAAACCGTATAATATATAGTTTTTAAAAAATACTTTTGAAAAAGTATAATATATATATATTTTAGAAAAAATATTTTTTTTAATTTGAAAATATATTATCGGTTATTTTATGTATTTTTTATTTATTTTGTTTTTTTTTATTTTTTATTCTATTTTTAGGTCCAAAGGAAAATCAGGTCCAGTAAGGGGATAAAGGAGCCCAACTGGGTGCCTAACCCAACAAGGCCCAATCGGGTGCCTAACCCAGCAAGACCTAACCGAAGCAGGCATGATTCGACCCGAGATCCGAGCCCAACTGCCCGACCTAACAGAAGTTAGGGTTTCATGTTTAGCACCAGCACCGTAAGACCAAGAGCCGTTAGATCTGGCCCTTTGATCCAACGGCCAAGAAGCATCAGGAGTAACATGTGAAGGCCACACGCCAACGTGGTTACCAACCGGCCAAACAACCAGGATGGTCGGTCACACGAACAACCCGAAAATAACGGGAACGAGGGAAACAGCCCGTGGGAGTGGAAACAAAAACCACCGACGTGTGGTATAATACCCCGACCCAATCTGTCAAGAAAACAACGAAAAACGTTGAAGCACCAAACCAAAATCAAATCCACAAAATCCAAATAATATTCGCCAAGAGAACCAAAAGCAATATAGCCAAAAAAACACGCAAATAGCATTCGAAAATAGCAAAACAAATTCAAAGGGGCAAGGCGAACGTTTAGGCTCGGATAAGGCAACAGTCGTTGGAAAAGCGTCGAAAAAGGTAAAGTCGAAACCTTTTGTTAGATCTACTCCGTTTAGGGTGTGTTTCGGGTATTAGGCTTCGATATTAGGTTCGGGTATTTCACGGTGGCCAGAGTGGCGGTCTGGGCGATGGGGCTCTATCAGCAGGTGGGGGCTCGTGGTCGGTGGGGAGAGCTTAGAGAGAGTTAGAGAGAAGGGAGAAGGTTGATTTTGGGAGAAATGGGAGAGAAATGTTTTTTTTTGTGATTGGGAAGTATTTATAGGGAGGGCCTTTGTGTAAATACAAATTCTTAAATTATTCCGCAATCCCTATAGTTTTGATGCATAATTCATTTTGGTCACCTGTTGTAAATTTGCCTTTGAATTTGAATTTATTCAATTTAATCTCTATTTATATTTTTATATTTATGCAATTTGACCCTCTAACTTCTTATTTCTTATTGCAGCCTTTAGTTAATTCCAATTTGATCATTAATCTTTAATTCTTTTCAATTTTGTCATTTTTTATTCAAATTTCCTTTATTTTCTTTTTATATTTAACATTAATTTGATTTATTTTTAGGGTCAATTTTAAATCTTCAATGGTAAGTAATTTAGATCAAACTTTTAAATTTAATTTAACTTTGATTTTCACAATTAAGACAACCGAGAAATTAAATTAGTACCGAAAGGGTAGTACAGGGGTGCTAATCCTTCCTGACTGTAATCGACTCCGAATCCAATTCAATTCTGGTAAAAAAATGCAGATAATGTAAAAATGACAAATTAAGGTATCCGATTAACCTAATTTTAAAAAGATCGGTGGCGGCTCCATCATATCGAAATTAAGTCGAAACCCGATTTCGGGCCCACCCGAAGGACGATTACAACACAAGTGGTAAGCAATTTAATATCGCTTAAGTAAGGTATCAAGTTTGAATTCTTATGTATGCAGAAAATCATTGTTGGGAGATTTACCCACCAACGCTAGGGTGTACGACGCAGGTGGGTCCGGATAGTCATAACAAAGTCTTGCAACCGGGAGGTCAACCAAAAAAAATACAACAATTCTCTTATTTGTGAGTAGTCCATTTAGAAATTCTAAAATCCTTAGATGTGTTCAATTTTTTTATAACTTCTAAATCTAATTCTAATTTTATCTAGAGGGGAAAGGAAGAGAGGATTCTAAGAAAAATGATAGTATTCCTAATAAGTCTAATACCATGACCTAAAGAATATAAGAGAACAAAAATAATTAAACCAACTGACCAAACAAATATGTTACTTGAATAAAAGTGTGAACTTCTTTGATTAAATCAAAGATACTTAAAGACTTCAATTGAAACATGGTTTCTATATATTGTTAGGAAACTGATTTATGTTGTTCTCAATTTTTTTTCCTCAAAAGTTAAAAAACGTTTTTCCAATTATTATATATTTTTTGGTTGCCCTCCTAGTTCTAAGGTTTCGTTCTGATTAATCCAGATCGATCCACGTCACATACTTGTTTTTGATGGATGAATCTTCCAGTGGAGATTTTCTGCAAACAGAAAACCTCAAACTCAAAACTTGCTTAAGAGATATCAAATTGCTTACCACTTGAACCAACCCATTAATTAGTTATTTAAATATTTATCTTTATAAAGTGTAATCCAAATATGAATCATCTTTTAAAATATTAGTTTAATTTAAACAAACTAGTTAATAAATTCACATAAAACATTTGTGCTTATATTACTCATATAAGCGGTTGCCTAAGTAGGCATTGGCTCAACCACAAGTGAAGAAAATATTCAGGGGAACATCTTTTACCACCAATATCCCTGTTTTATTTTTTTATTTTGACCTTTAAAAATTTATTTTGGGATATGAAGCTCATTCTTAGATGTAAATTGTTATCTAATAAATTATTTTAAAAAATTGTTTTTTAAAACAATCACATTTTAAAATATAAGTATTTTTATCCTAAAAGAAAATGTTTAGGGTCAAAGTATATCAGAAAAAATAATAGTAAAAATAACTATTCAATCAAATTTTATGTATACTTTTACTCTAAAATAAAAAATTAAAAGTTATAATACTCTAAAATGATTAACTATTAAAATAATCATTTTAATAAATATCGAAAGCTAATTTAGGATTATATCAAAAATAAATTATTCATAAATTATTATCTAATTTCATCGTCCAT